ACGGCCTGTTTTTGTACCTAAGTTATTTATAGTATTGATCTATGGAAGTCTGAGTGATTTTGTTCTGAGTATAATCTGACAGTAAATTTAAAAAACAAATGACATCTCACCACTGATTGTGTCATTAGGCATAGAAGGCTGGTTTTCAAAACCTTAATTTGAAACTGTATTATATTACCGTTGATTTAAATTGATGGCTACATCCCTATACAGTAGAAACCTAAAGGCATTTTAATGAATAGCACTGTATAACGTGGCCTAAAGTAATTTTAATATGCCTATAGACACATTCAATATTTATATGAGCTTTTCAAAGAAGTGGCAGGATTAGATACAGCGACTAGGCAGGGAGGATTGTGTGTTGTGAATCCTGTAGTGTTGCCTTGTATCATACAGTGCTCTACATCATTCATTACTGCTATATAACAGTTCACCTAGAATATAATTGTACATTTCTTATATTAAATGTGCTGTAATTCAGTATTGTAGCTGTATAATTAAAATAACAAAATTAATATGTGACAGCGTGCCTAAGAACATTAAACCATGCTGTGTTTTAGGTGAGCAACTGATATAGTTCTCGCCTAATACTGGCAAAGAGTATATTTTAAGGTCTGTACAAAGAGTTCAAAGAGGGATTATACAAATTTTTTTCCTGTCTTTTTTTTTATGACTTTGTTCTGTTATTTTTATTTTCATTTATTTTGATTTATTGTGTCTGTTTCTAGCTAATCTAGATTTTTTTTAAAGAAAACCTGCCACAAACCTGAAATTGGGAATGCCGGGACTTTTAGTTCCGGACTAGTTTCTGTGCCAGACCACCCGCCCAGTTTCCTGATTGGATGGAAAGCCTGGGAAGCCACAGCCATGTTCCCTTCCAGCTTCACAGGCACTGAGGACTGCAGCTGTTATGTGAGGAATGTAAGTGGCAAGTGCTGCTGTGCTTGGTATCACTGTGATGGTCACAAAGAGATCTTTGTGATCTCTCCACCGACTCTCTCCAGTGACTAAAAACATGGTGCCACAGTTGCGGTTTCGCTGTTGGGCTTGGGTGATTAGGGTGTGCCCAGGAACACCCTGCAAACCCTGTGTGCATGCGTATGAAATAGGCTGTTCACTTTTGCAAGAGAATTTGCAATTTGCAATGGAGATTTCCCTTTAGCTTAAGCTGGCTATACGCCAGTAGAATTTTGTTTCAAAAAAATTAGTTTTCAGTATGTTCAATTTTCTAATAGTTAATGGGGTCAAATCAACAATCAATTTCAACTGTAGCGAGAGAAAAAAAATAGTGGAACAGGACAGATAATTTTTCTTGAAAGGAACAAATGATTTAAAATGTGATTTTCATTTGATAAGCTCTATACATTCCAAAGTCAAATGTTAAAATCAAACAACATTTTGTATACAACATTTTACAAGGCTGTGATGGCTTTATCAAATATTCTGATGACAATTTTTTTCCATATGAAAGCTATTATGCAGGATTGTTTTACTAAAAGAGTTGCAAATGTTCACATAATACATTTAAATTTTATTAATATTAAATAAATTATCCAATCATGGATGAGTATAAAGCCTTTTAACATTACAGAACAAATCTAGCTGAATGTGACTTACTACTACAAGCTATACCATGACCTGCACAGCAGAGGGCAAGGTTCATAAACTCAAACAATAGAGGTCTGGAAGTGCCACCTTGCCGTCCAATGCCAGCAACAATTACACTTTGTGTAAAGTTATAAGTCACACGCAATGCCTGGAGCAGTACCAGTTACAGTGTCCAGACAGCCACCAAGAGTCAATAGGAAACTAAAAGTCCCAGAGGGGAATTTATCAAAACTGGAGCAGACAAAATCTGGAGCAACTGTGCATGGCAACCAATCAGCTTCTCTCTTCAGTTTGTTCGGTTAAGATTTGAAAATGAAAGAGAGAAGCTGATTGGTTGCAGTGCACAGCTGCTCCAGATTTTGTCTGCTCCAGTTTTGATAAATTCCCTTCCCAGTTTTTAGACAGCAGCACACCATTGTCATCCTTGATGGCCAGGCCGACCAGGCCGGCCAGCTGCATACCAGGCAAGCATAAAGTGGATATGTGCTAGAGTCAGGAACTTTGATCTTCCAGCTGTGCAGTGTTGATTACTCCTGTAAGGATATTAGATTTGTGTTACATAAGTGAAATAAGTTGGTGATTTAGGAGTCCTTTGGTTCTGGTAAATGTTTCTACTGAAGGTAGTAAAACAGTGGTAGGAATGTTAATGTTTTACATAGCGATTAGAAATATAGATTTTTTAAACATTTTCATTGTGATGTCCTTGTAGAAGTAACACCGTTGTTTCAGTTTCACTCCAAAATCAACACCTGTATGTGCTATTGCATTGATGAAGGTGAACTTGAATGAACAAAATTCCCACAAGATTCACACCTTTTTCTAACTAAAACTTTGGTAAAAAAAGTGTGATAAATAGTAGTAATCTTCCTTGTTGACACACATAATTGCAGAACCCAAACCGTGCCTTTTGTTGTACTGTAGGGGGGATCAAGGCGAGGGATTGCTTTTTTGTGAAAAACCCCTTTAATCAAAACCTTTATAGTTTTTTAGTATAACTAGTTCAAAATAATGTGTCATTAAAACAAGGACAATACTTAACTTTAAAATAAAACTAAATATGATTTTCTGTATTTTCCAGGGTTCTTTAGCTGTGTTCCTTTAGGATGTCCAGAAGAATCACATCCTTTTTTCTGCTGTTTAGTGAGTGCTCTGTTGGAAACCTCAAATACCTTATCCATTCAAATTTCTTTCTGATAATGGCACCACCAAATGCCATGTTCAGTTATATCAACGAAAGCATCCCCAACATTCCTGTCAATGTGCATGCCCCCAGCATGTGTTATCCTACAGGGATAAGAAATGAGATGCACATATAAAATGTTTTTAGGGATGCTGTCTATCAGAGAACTAAAAAGCATTTGCTGCCCTTATTCCTTCCTTCCTTCTAGAACCACTTTATTATTAATTATACAACTGCCAGCTACTACTGTGTCTGAGTAAGAACCAAATTATACAAAAAAAAATATTTTAGTACAGTGCACTGCTGTCAACTCTTAAGAATAGCTTAAAGTGACAATAAACTCCAGAGTTAAATCTTAAAAATGCATTCAAGTACCTTAGCTATTAACAAACATGTAGCTAATTTGTGCATCACTCAGCTGTAGATCCTCAAATCATCTTTGAATTCATGCTGACACTGCCCTTCCTTCTGGAGGATAGCTACTTTTGTTCCCCATGGTCCCTGTGTGTGTTGTAAAGTAGCCAGCCTAAGCTCTAAGCTCGCTCCTGTGATGGACTACAATCTCATGTTTAGTTTAGTAATTTGTAGTCCATCACTGACTATAAGGATCCCGTCAGAGTGGTTCCCAATCATGTGATCACTATGTTAGTTCTAACACATTGAGTCATCAGTGTTCATCTGCACTGCCATCTTTTTTTAATAGTGTAACTGTCAGATACAGTATCACTGTTAAAATTATAATAATAAAAACATGTAGCAAAATTCACATTTGTAACCCTGTGATACGCGTTTAAAAAAAATTATAACAAGTGTACTAAATAAAACCTTACATGTCCTTCAAAAATATGGATAAAAATGTATGTGTATTTAGGTGTGTCAATGAGTTATACAGTTGTTGTTAAAGTTACACTAAACTCCGGAGTTAAATCTTAAAAAATGCATTCAATCTTGGAGCAGTGGCTACTTTACAACACACACAGAGACCATGGGGAACATTAAGATTTAACTCCTGAGTTTAATGTCACTTAAAGAGTTAAACTGTATTTTTTTTTTCACAAAGATACAAATATTCTGAAAAGTGCAGCTATAGCAGAAGCATTTTTTTTTTTTGGACAAAGCATTGAAAGGATAGAACCTGTCAACAACCTATCCAAGTAGGCAGATTGTATTGCTCTTTGGGGCATCACTAGGGAGTTTTAGCTCTATTTATCCTGGTGACCATTGTCACTGGGACAGAAAGTAATAGGAAATCCAAAATGTCTAAAAGTCTCAGTACAGTACAGGAGGTGGGGGGGGGATCTTCTTGGGGGGTACCAGTTCTAATGACAACTGTCCACAAGGAAATGTTTCCTCAATTTTATTTGGTTTCTCCAGTGTCTCCAGGAGAAACAGTGAAGGACAATTTCCCCAATGGGACACAGACAGCAAAGGAAAACCTGAAAGGGGCTACTCTACTCTATCGAAAACTAAAGAATAAATGTTTGCCTGCATGTACACCAAGATCAGGGACCCTATTGAGAAAATATAAACTTGAGCACAACACAATATATGTTTTATACTTTTATATTGCAGGTTTTTAGAGACCCGCAGTGCAGATCAGTCAGCAACTGGCATGCCAAGTTCTTTGCTATCTCTTTCTATGGCTATTATCCAATTTACAGAGTTTCACCAGCTTTTGCTACATCTGTGTCATCTTAATAAAAAAAGTTTCAAGTGCAGACGCATAATAGAAATGTAAATAACAATGTGTACATGATTGAAAAACAAAGTGTTGAGCATAATGTGCAGGTAAATGTAGTACTGATTGGATCCAGTTTTGTGCTTAAGAAAATTACTATATAAAGAGGAAAAGCGAGATCACAGCTGCTCTCCGCTCAGGTAATGATTTCCAATTCTGAAATACAGCAAAAAACAGAATAATGCTATCTTCTAAAAAGATAGCGAGCATCATAGCAAGACAGCCAACAGAGTACTTCTTTGGAATTAGCTAATTTTCTTTTAGATTTTTTTCCTAAGGCAAATATAATGAAGGCTTTTCATATTCACAATCTCCATGTCTTTTCTAGAAAGAATATTTCATTTCATGTAATCTGCTCTCCTGCTGTAATATCTCTCCTTTTTCTCAGAGTTTACAGTTTTCAAAGAACACAAATATGTTTGTTTTCCTGTAAGCCATTGTTCTCATCCGTTCTCTTGCTCAATGTTTTCACAGGCTGCTCGGAACCACTTGGAATGAAATCAGGACATATACAGGATTACCAAGTCACAGCCTCCAGCGTTTTCCGAACACTAAACATGGACATGTTCACTTGGGAGCCCAGGAAAGCCCGGTTAGACAAGCAAGGCAAGGTGAATGCCTGGACATCTGGAAGAAGTGATCAGTCACAGTGGCTTCAGGTAATTCATACCGCTTCAGGTTAGAGATGAATTCCAAACAGAAAAAAACAATAAAATGACTGTTCATTAAAAAAAAAGTAAATTCATGTTTAAATGCAATTACTCTAAGTACCTGAATATGACCTTGTACCAGCCTCCTATTATCCCTTGTATGGCAGTTATACCATGGGATAGAAAGGGGCAGTGAACAATTTCACTATAGGCCTATTTATTTGGCAAGAACTCTGTCAATACGTAAGATAAAGTAATACATGCACTTTTTTTTCTATTTGTTGTTGGTTTTTTTTTGTGTGGGGGAGAAAACTAGTCTTCCTTTTGGCAATATTGTCTTGAAAAAATATTTTATTTTCTATGTATTACATAGACAAAAATACATAAAAAATAAATATGCTCTTTATTATTTTGACCAGTGTAAGTTCAAAAAATATGCATTATATTCAAAAAATGTGTCCCATTTAAAATGATAAATATATGTTTCTGGTAGAAAGTATGGCAAAATTATTTACAAATAAAAATAAGACATTTTTCTTATTGTTCTGCAATTTTTAATGCATCACTGAAAAAAGATAACAAAATTAATGGAAACATTTAAAAAAAAATTAAAAGCAAGCAGAAAAAGAAAATAGCTAAGGGGAAAAGGGGAGAAAGGAATTTGGGGTGATTAACTTAGTGTTAATATAATGTTGAATAGAGATACAAATTATTCATTTTCTTTTTTTACTTGTAAAGATTTCTTTAACTGATATCATATGAGGTTAAAAGGTCGTATGCAAAACTTTTTCTACAAAAACACAGAATAAGAAGAGAGGTTGAGACTTTTGCCAATTGAAATTCAGTCTGAGTCTATTGTTATGTTTATGCTTGTAGATGGCTAGATGAACATACTTTTAAAAGTTAGTTCAATTCTAGTTAAAAAATTCCACCATGTGTGGAATGTATCTGAAATAGTCAAATAACATAACTTCAGTATAATTCTAGATAATATTTTTGTGATGTCCTCTTCTGACATGATCACATTTAGAGACATGCACCCTAGCTCCTATGTATAGCCACTCTTATGGTGCAGTAGAAGCTGAACAACAGCAAAGTATAGAAACTTCAAAATATACATAGAAACAAAACAAAAAAAGCAATAGTATTAAAAACCCAGCCAAAAGATGCTTACGCTGAACATACCTCCTATTTTCAATGTTTTCTGGTTATGACAATAGAACAATAAACTACCAGCTAAGGGCCTTTTGACCAGAAAACCATTCTATGTTTGCCTCTCTGAAACTAGTTTCACTTTGTTGCTTGGGCTTCTCTGACTTGAAGCATAAGCCACTAAATGATATTGCTGAGGCCTGTGAGATTACCTCTGGGGCCCTCTCATTAGAAGGGTAGTGACAGTTGTACAGACATAGTCTGAAAGTAGGACCCTAATAACAAGGGAAAATACTTTCAGAGAGACACACTTGGTCTATGGTTTTCTGGCTAAAAAGGAATTTCTAGCTATTATAGTGCATACAACCTTAAAGGAGAACGATGAGGTGAGTGATTTTAATTCAACCTCATAGTTCGAGCCGACGTGTGACAATTAAACTATCACACGTCGGCTCAATAGATTGGGAAGTGAGTGAACACATACCGTCGCTCGCTCACTTCTTGATCATCTCCCTGCAGAGAGCGGTGACCTCTAGATAGGCAGAGCCAGCTGTCAATCACACAGCTGGGTGGATCTCGACAGTAATGTCGGGATCTGTTCCGGCTGCGGCGGTCTCAGTATACCGCGAGCTGTAGCTCGCGATATACTGAGCTTTGGGTCACAGGAGGACGCTAGTTTATGTCCTCTCGTAACCCTTAGGAGAACTATGGGGGAAAACACTTACCCCATAGTTCTCCTTTAAGGCCTTCTTAACCACTTGAAGACCAGGTGTTTACACCCCCTTCCTGGTCAGGCCATTTTTCAGTATTCAGCGCTGCAGTACTTTGACTGACATTTATTCCGTCATGCAATGCTGTACTGAGATGCATTTTATACCATTTTTTGGGGACAGATAGAGCTTTCTTTTGATGGTATTTAATCACCACTGGGGGGGGGGTTTATTTTTTACTATATAACAAAAAAAGTACCCTACATTTTGTAAAAATAAATTGTTTCCTTATCTTATCCTCTGCACTGTCAATGACTTGAGCTAATTCTAAACAGATACACCTTCTATTCCACAAAATGTGCCTATGTGTGGTAAAATCTTCTGTACATTATGAGGTTGATTTGCTAAAGCAGTTGACTGTTCACTTCACAAAGTGAATTATGAAACATTTATCACTCCAATTTTTGGGTAAAATATAAAAGACGGGGTCATGTCGGGTAAATAGACCAAACATGTCAAGCTTTAAAATTGTGTGCATCCGCGAAATCGCAGAAAAGGACCACACCCCAAACTGGCTATAGGCGATATGTAACATGTGCGGCACAATAGGCAGAATCAGCATTTTCACACTTTGGCGCACCCAACGACTTTAGAAAACATTTTGTGTTATTTTCCTTTTTATATTTGTGATTGATTTTTTTTAGCTTTTTTATTTTTTTTGTTTATGCTTTAAATTTTTTAAACTTTTTTTTTACACTTAACTTTATTGCTATCACATAGGGGACTAATAAATCCTCTATGTAATAGCCAATTCACATAACAGGTCCTCTTTATGGAGACATCAGGGGTCACCAAGACCCCTGATGTCACCTAGGGACCCCCAAAGAAGCTGATGAAGCAGAGATCTGCTTTATCAGCTTCTCAGCGGCATCTGTAACCGGAAGGTGACACTGAATGCAGGAAGTGATGTAATACACATCACTTCCTGTATTCGGAGACCAGAGAGGAGATTGAAGGGAGAACGTGTATTGATCTCCCTTTGAGACGGCGGGGTGCGCACACCCGCACCTACTACAAGTGATCGGGCATCTCTAGAGATGCCCGATCGCTTGAATGTAAACAGCCATTACTGGCTGTTTACATGGCAGACAGTTTCCCCACTTGTTTGCGCGCTGGGCGCCGCGCACGAGGAACTTAAGACGCCCTCTCACTCCTGTAAGACTCCCATCTGGCCATTGACGGGAGGTGGTTAAAACATATGGCATTCACATTTCTCATTCTATCACATATCCTAAAAGTAACACTCATTTCAGGACAGTGGGTGGAGCCATGCAAATCATTTCTTTATGCCCAATCAGTCTAATGCACATTCAGAACCACTGGAGTATAGTGCAAATGTAGCCTAATATTGCAGAGCCATTGGAAGGTGAGTTTAAAGTCTTTTTAGGATAGTTAAATGTGGAGGGGATTTGGAAGAAGAATTATGAGTGAGACATGATTGGTTGAAGGGTATACATTGTGTCACTTTTGTACTATGTCTACAAAACCCTTCTGCCTATCCGTAAGAAACTACATTTTTTAATTACTAGCAGTTTTTAAACTGCATACTGTAAAATAAATAACTAAATAAATAACCCTTGAATAGGTTAAGGATTATTAGCAAACTAAATTCTATAGTGTGTTTCCTGTGGTAATGTAAAATGTGTTCTTCACAGGAAATATTTTACTTGAAAATTGCATTCCTCCCTCCCAAGAGCACTTAAACAGCTGTAGCCTACAGAGAAAGGTAATTATTTCATTACTTTAGTTATAGACTCAATGGATGCAGTAACAGATATCACAGTTAAAAATAATGTATGGTAAATGTTATTTTTATGCTTCTGCTTTTGAACATTTGTAAGGTTTGTCCATGCTGTAAGCCCACCCTTTGCTTAGGGGTAAGAACACTTTAAAGTGGACCTTGCACTAAAATTGATGTAACCCTATTTATTATAACACCACCCCCATCCCTGAATCAAGATTTAATTTTTTATGTCCACTTGAACTTAAAGTAGTATTACACTCTCAAACTTTTTTTTTTCTTTTGCAAAAAGGAATCCAGATCAAACAAATACATTTTGTCCAGCAAAGTATTTCTTTAAATGTTGCACTTACAGTCACCATATTTCCAAGCAGCTGCCCAGTACATGATCACAAGGGGTAGAGGTGCCTCCAGCAGCTGTCCATCTACTAGCCTGCAGAGGAGAAGGTAGGGGAGCAAGAGGGGAAGGAGAGTGACTCGCCCTGCTGTGCTGCGTGTTTGTAGAGAAACACATAGGGGTCTATTCACAAAGCTGCCGAAGGATCTGGCCGTAGCTTCGGCCGATCCTTCGGCTACCTTCGGCACCAGGACCCCTTCAGTTCAGGAGAACCAAGGGGGTGCTGTACGGGCTATTCACAATAGCCCGTACAGCTCCCGATCACGGCCGAGCGGCTCAGTCGAGCGCTGAGCCGTGCTGAAAGACGAAGCTGGCCGAGCGGCTGGCCATTGGCAGTGCATGTTCGGCTGATCCAAAGCCACACGAAGCAAGCCGATGTACGGCTGATTTCAGCCAATATACGGCTGAAATCAGCCGTACCAGCCTGAAGTGAATAGCCGAACGGTGTTCGGCTCACTTCACTTCTGATCGGTCATTCACTCGGCTGCCCTCGGCAGCTTTGTGAATAGACCCCATAGCTTACTAACACATACAAGGGTGGCTCCATAGGGCCCTACAAGGGGAAGGAGCCACCCTAAAGCAGGATATCAAGAACAGTGCTCAGCGGACCATCTGATTCTGCAGGAAACTAAAACTTTTAAACCCTTAATGACCAAGGCCTTTTTTTGTTTTTTGCATCCATGTAATAATCCACATTTTATGCCTGAAAATTACTTAAAACACCCAAACATTATATATTTTCTGAAAGCCATGACACTGTAGAATAAAATGGTAGCAGTTGCAAATTTTTATGTTGACGATATTAGCACACCCTATTATCAAACCCAAACATTTAGTGAGAAATGCACTTAAGTTAAATCTAGTGCCCCAAAACACAATAAAATACCCATTATTTGTATACAATATAATAGATGATTGTACAACGAATACATAGATATCCAACATGCCC